GGAGTGTGCGTGTGCGACAGGGCAGGGGCTGCAGCCCCGCGCCAGGGCACGGGGAGCAGGGGCCACATGGGCGCCGTCCTGGCATCCCGAGGAGACCCAGCAGCCTTGGAAGGTCCCAGCCCAGAGCAGAGCCTCTCCCTGGGGCTTTAGGCTCTTGCAGGAGAGTCCCGGGTTCCTGAACCGTGGTCCAAAACCCGGGAATCACCGAAGCAGGAGCAGCCACAGAGAAGCAAAGCTGAGGGCAGAGGAGGAGCCCTGGGCACTCTGGGCTGCAGAGGGGCCCTGCCCTGCGCCCACCCCGCTCCTCCCGTGCACGGGGCACAGCCACCCCTAACACTGTAACAGACAAAACCCGCCGGCCCCAGGCCGGGCCCGCGCGCTGCGGCACCCGAGCGGGGAATCGAGGGGATGGCAACGGCCGCAGAGACCGCTCGGAGCAAGAGGGGGAGAGCAAAGGCCACTCGAGGACTTGCCTTGGCCAGCTCCAACCTCAGCTCCGGGAGCAGCAGGGAGAGACGGGACCCCCTGGCCGGAGAGGACGCGGTGCTAAGAGACGGGGAGAGGAGGCGGCCGAGGGCAGGGCAGGAGTGAGCTTGGTGCCATGGCTTCGCTGCAGGCACAGCGGGTCCCTGGGCCTGCCCCAAACCCAGCTCTTCCCAGCGCGTGGGGCACGAGGGCTACCCGGCCTCCTCCCGGAGAAAACAGGGGACAAACACGAAGCAGGGGACAAACATGTCTCGCGTGCCCTGGATGCAGCACATCTCCTCCCTGCTCTCAAGCCCTTCCCTGCCCACCCGCAGGTGTCATTCCCAAAGGCAGGAGCAGCCCGGTCCCCTCATCTCTCCAAGGCACTGACCTGAGGACAGGAACTGTGCATCACTCCGGGGTAGGTTTTAAACTGGACCTTGGCAGGGGTGACGACCGACTTCAGCTTCTCCGCAGTGAGGGCCCCGAAGCGCACGGGGATCATGGGGTCCATCTCCCCATGACACTGTAGGATGGCGATGTCCTTGTTCATGCTGTTACTCGCCGCCTGCAGCAAGGGAGGAAGCGTTTAAGGGTGCCAGGAGAGGGAGTCCCCAGCAGGGGACAGGGCAGCTGCTTCCTCCCTGTCCCCATCACCTGGCAGCGCCTCTCCTCCAGAGGGACGTGACAGAGCTGCTGCCCTGCCACCAAACAGCTCTCCGGAGCCCCAGGCGTCCCCACCGCCCCTCTCTCGAGTGGCAGGCGGCGGCGCCCGGAAAAAAAAGGTGCAGCGGGAGCCAGCAGCTGAGCGCCACGATGCCGGCCAGCTGGTGCTGGCAGGTGAGAGCCGTGTACAGCGACAAGGCGCCACCCTGCACGGACACACAAGGACAAGGTCCTTACCGTCGCGGCAGAGCTGTCACCCCAGCCCCGTGACACGAGGCGGAGGTGACACAGGGGACCCGGTGCCTGAGGAGGGGGACAGAGCCCCGCTCACCTGTGAGAAGCCCCCCAGGATGATGCGGTTGGGGGGGATCCCGTTCTTCACCTCGTGCTCGATAATTGCTTTAACTGGAAGAAGCCGGAGACGGAGGTCAGTAAAAGACACTGGGACTGATCAGCATCACCCGAGGCCTCATGGACCGAATGTGCTCAGCCTCAGTGACCCCAGGACAGCGGAAAGAAGGGAGAGGTGGCAGAAAGACACCCCTCCCTGCCCCACAGAGGGAGGGGAGCCCAGGGCTTCCTGACCCCAGAGGCCCTTACTGTTTTCTGCAGCTTTCTTGATCCCAGCTTCATCCTCAGGTGCGTCTGGACTCAACCCCATCAGATCAAACCTGGGGGAAGGAGCAAGGTCAACCCCGAAGCTCTGCCAGCTGTCAGGGCACAGGGAGCTAGGGGTGCTCTGCCCTTCCCAGCTCCTTCACAACGCTGGATTTTGGCTCTCCAACCCCCCAAAACAACCAAGGTCCCCCCTGCCCGGGAAAGCCCCAGGCAGCCCTGAGCACTGACCAGGAAGGCATCACCATCTTCATGTTGAGCGTTACGGGGATCCGCGGCCTGCAGAGAGAAGAGCTCGTGTCAGTCCATGTGCAAGAAGAGCTAGTCAGGGCTCCAGCCCTGCTGCCCATGGCATGAGGGTGCCTCTACCGAGGGACAGGGACAGGGCAGGGCCCCGGCACTGGCCGGGACGGCTGCAGAGCGACGCCGGGGACTCCCCAAGGCCTGGGCAGGTCCCGCTGAGCCGGGTGTTTGGCAGCGTTGCCAGGCAGCCCCTTGGGGACGCGTGCGCCTGCGCCCGCCTCCTGTTTGCTGCTGCTGCCGTGCGGGAGACGCCGGGACAGCGAGGTGCCGGCTGCACGGACGGGGCTGTCCCAGCTCGGTGAGTGCCTCCCGGCACAGCCCGGGGTGCTCGGGCACAGCTCGGGCTGCTGCTGACAGCAGGGAGCAGCATTCCCTGCCCTTCCCGCTGCTCCCGCCTGCTTGGCCCCCCAGGGAAGGGCAGGAGCTCCGGCGGAGCCGTCACGGAGAGGATGAGGATCAGGGCAGGGAGAAACGGGACCCAGAGCAGCAGTTCCCACCTGAACTGCAACAGGGCCTGGTGCAACCCCCTCCCCGGGCTCTTCCAAGTGCTCTTGCAGGACAAGGGCGGCACTTACGCATGAGGGCAAATGTATTTCACGTAGGGGAGGCGGATGGAGGAGAGAGCGTCAGCCCAGCTGTGCCTGGGGAGAGAGAAGAGGCAGTTCAATGAGGCCTTAGCACCTGGGATGCAAGAGATTCCCTCGGGCAAGGACAGGTCCTCTCCAAGGCTGCTGAGCCCCTGCCCTGATGCTCTGCTGCACCAGTTCCCACTCCCCCAGCACCCAGGACATCTCCCCTATCGCAGGGCAAGAGCTGCACCCAGAGCCCAGCAACTCGAGGCAGAGCAGCTGCTGGCAGCAAGGCAGGAGAGAAGCTCCTCTGCAGGGAGAATTCCTTTGTTGCTGCTGCATCTGACACTGCCCTCTAACGTGGCCTTGCCACACACACAGAGGGGCTGTCCCCTTCAAGCTGACGGGCACAGGGCTCCTGGCCAGGAATCCCGTTAGGGCTCTCATGACCGAGACCGGAGCGGTGCCAAAGGCTGGAGCTGCCCCTGCAGGGCAGCAAAGCAGGGCCCTACGGTGAGCGCCAGGCGCCCCGGAGCTCGGCTGCGATACTCACCCCGTGTCTCCAAGCCCGTGTAAAAAAATGACCTGTTAAATTAAGCAGAGAAACAACAGAATCAGCTGGTGCGACAGCTGGGGCCCTGGGAGGGAGGCAGGGCTGGGATGTGGCAAAAGGCCACTTAGTCACTAGGAGGAGACTCAGCCGGGCAGGAAGCCACCGATGCTGATGACACCTCTCTGCACCTCTGAGGGTGACGCGCGGGTGCAACAGGTACAGGCCACCCCCGCGGTGCCAGCGTCTGTCCTTGCTGCCAGGCCGTGGGTATCACCTGCTTCCTCAGCAGCCCAGCTGGAGGGGTGCTGAGCTCGCAAAGCCTCGCTCCGAAACATCCTCTGCCGGCTCCGAGCCCCAGGGAGCTGGGACATTGTGCCTGGTGCTTCTGCACGGGGCCAACACCAGCAACAAGCAGCCCAGCCCACAGGGAGCAGTCACTTTTCCCCAGCAAAAGGAGAGCTCATTGACCCTGCACCCCCTTTAAGCTGCCACTAAGATGCGGTTTGAAGAGCTAAGGCATTACGGGCTCAGCTCAATCCCCCCTGAGCCACAGGCACCAGCCCATCTTTAGCAGCACTAATAGGGAGGAGGAGGAGCGGCCGCGCAGCGCCCTTACCGCAGCGGTCTCCCGCTCTGCCCCGGAGACGGTCACGGCATCGGCGAGGAGGGGGACAGACATGTTGTTACCGCACATACACCGGGAAGGACTCGGACACTGGCACCTGCGGGAGAGACGGGCAAAGTTAGGCGGGAATAAAACTCCCTCCCTTCCTCCAGCAGCTGCTCCGGGGGAGGTGCAGCAAGCGGCCCACGAGGGCTCCGGCGCTTCCCCGCCGGCCGGGGGGCTCAGG